TTTTTATAAATAATGGGCGGGTGGGTAAAAACTTTTAGACTAATGGGCGGACGGGCTGGCAGGTAAGGAATTTAGACAAATGGGCGGGGTGGGCGGGTATATATTTTTTAAAACTATGGGTGGGCTTGGCGGGCTTTTGGTCCAAAAACCCGCCCAATGCTGACTTCTTGTGTATATAACATTATAGGGATAGGCACTTATTTATCACGTATCACGTTTAAATGCATAAAAAGGAGAAGGACTCCAAAAATAAGAAATAATACCAATGACATTAATACTATAGACTGCCGATCGTAATGCTAAAATCAAATTTGAAGTGGCAAAAATTGAAGTGACTGGTGGCCATTTTGTGTTTGTATCTTTTACGAAAGAAGCATATGATAATTTCATAAATTTCAGGTATATTTTTATTATGTTTATATTTATAATATATATATTCTAATTAAACACCAATTTATTATTTACCTTATATATTATAGTATATATGAATCAAATAAAGTTCACTACTGAATATTTTACTTGAAATATTTCTGCTCTTTATTAACATTTGCAATTTATTATTTAATAATAAATATCTTTTATAAGAATTCAATTTAATATTTTTTAATTACTAAAAGATTTAAAATGGTAGTATATTGCTGAGGAAGCAAAATTTCCTTTCATAAGTATATCTCAAATTAATTGTTCTATTGTAAAAATTATTTATGGCAGATTTCCTATGAAAGATAAAATATTATTACAAAAGTGGACCCATGCTGTGAAGAGAGAGAACTTCAATGTAACAAAATATAGTAAATTATGTTCAAAGCATTTTACACCAGATTCATTTATTTCATCTGTTACAAATCATGTTCAATTAAGAGTGGGAGCAATACCATCAATTTTTAATTTTCCAAAGCATCTTCTAAAAGTAACAAAATAATGAATAATAAATTATAACATGCAGGTTTCTTAGAAGCCAGATTAATTCAAATATAAATTTTTAATTTTCCAAAGCATCTTCTAAAAGTAACAAAATAATGAATAATAAATTATAACATGCAGATTTCTTAGAAGCCAGATTAATTCAAATATACATGAATATTTTTTTTATAGAAATCAATTCTAGATTTCTTTTGTATTTTTATAATTTATGTCTTTTATGTTTTATTTTTGCTTATAATTATGTTATTCCTTTATAAATATAAACTATCCATTTCTAAATATATTTCTTTATTTAAATTTAATTCATTAAAGTATAAAAATCAATAATGTAAATATATATCATGAAAAATACAAATAATATATATTATGTTATATTTACATCAAATAAAATAATTGTATTATTATAATTAATATCGCGAAAAGAAAATATTAATCTTATAAATCAATAATAAATACAAATAATATATATATGTTATATTTATGTCTAATAAAATTAATTTATTATAACTAATAAAGTCATTAGAAATTTTCAGATAATTTGTTCTTCACCTATAAATATTTAAGTTAAATAACATATTTTTATATTACTTGGTTTATTGCCCTTGAAAAAGTACAACCTTGTTTAGTTTTTGCCTGATATTTAATTGTAATTTTTGATTTACTTTATTACCAAAATGATGCATTCTTATGTGCAGGTATCTGAAAATAAATTTTTATTAAAATCAAGTAAATATTATATATACCTTTTTATTATAAGTCTTATTATAATTTGATAATGACTTAACCCTGCCTCTTGATCAAACATATGATCTTGCAGGTCACTAAGGATATTTGTGCCTAATATTTTTGACAATATTAGACATTCTATTTTTTTAACAGCATGTCTTTTGCTTATTTCATCTACTTTTTCAAAGGCCCTGAATGAGCTCTCTGTTATTTTGCATAAATTTGACACGCTTTGGGATGGTATTATCAATCCACCATAATTCTTAATTTTTATTAATGTATAATTATTGTCGTTTGCGGAATTAAATTAGGGAATGCAAACAGATATCACATCTAACTTTCTTTTCTTCATATTCAGCAGAGTGACCTTTATTTGATTCATATATACTATAATATATAAGGTAAATAATAAATTGGTGTTTAATTAGAATATATATATACATTATAAATATAAACATAATAAAAATATATCTGAAATTTATGAAATTATCATATGGTTCTTTCGTAAAAGATACAAACACAAAATGGCCACCAGCCACTTCAATTTTTGCCACTTCAAATATATTAATAGGCAGTCTATAGTATTAATGTCATTGAATAATACAGATGCAATTACAGGTGCGGCAATTGTAATCACTTATCTTGTAGTACAACATTCACAGAGATACTTATCATCACAATGTTGGTAGAATCTTTTACCCATAATAAATGAAAACTATAGTTGTAGAACAAAAATAAGCAAGGCTATCATCAATGTTTTAGGACCTAAATCCAGAAGGTCAATTCTTGACGTTTTGAAAGATGGGCATACATATGCAATTCTAACAGATGCATCTAATAAGGAAATATTAAAATATTTCTCTTGATCCTCCGCTATTTCAACAAAATTAAGGTCGTTTCAATAAAACTATTGCATTTTTTCCCTCAAATAGTGAAAAATCCAAAGACATAGCTAGCAGATTGATTATCAATAAATTGCATGTTAGATTTCTGATCTGATAATGCCTCGGTGAATTTGGTAAAAACAGAGTGTATTTACAGAATTGAGTCAGCACAATGTTGGTTGCGATATGTTCCTAATAGCCGCCATCGATAGAATTTTAAAATTTTATAAACCTTTAAAAAAATATCTCTTAAATAAAAATTATAAAAGCTGTCCTAACATTTTGAAAATTTTTTCCAATAATGAATGGCAGGGCGCAGGGGTATATTTAGGTATTATTTCACATGTAGGAAATCTACTACACTGTAAATGTGCAGTTGCAATCAGAAGAATCTTAACAAAGATTCACAAAATTATTCTGCAGATGTGGTCATCTTTACAGTTAAAAATTGATAATAAATTTTATGGCGGGATTGCTAAACCTAATTATATTTTATTTGAGATTTAAATAATAGAACTAAATGTGTACCGTCGTTATTGAGATATTTATAAAATTCCTGGCATGACATATTATATATTTGTTTAACCATTAGTGTAAATTCATATCAACAAAGATTTATCTAGGCAAGTTCATCAATTTCTATTTCGGTGTAAGATTAATTGCACTATCGAAGCCTGATACTGATTGGCTAATTGCAGTAGGTTCATATTTTAGGAGACTAATAGCAAAGATAATTATGAGCGGATCAAACCTTTCAAAAATTTTCCAGATTTATCATATGGGCTTTGACACTAACGAGGATTGCGAAATAGCCTCTTTAAGCTCTCATATCGAAAATACTCCATCAGACGCCATAGCCTTGAGGCTATTTTTTAAAATACTTTTTATCTATCTAAATAAGTTTTTTTATCAAAGATTGATAAATGTAAAATTTAACAGACATATAAATGTAGAACCTCTCAAATTTGGGATACATATAATTTATTCCAGGTAAAGTATACAAGGTGACTCTTTTGGTTCTCTCATTTTTAGTTTAGGAATACATATTTATTAATTCTTTAAAAACTCTTTTTAATTTAATCATAAATATATATTTAGATTATGTCACTATCAGCGGACCATCTAAAAAATATTTTAGCATCAATATAATATATAGAGCTGAATTCTTTAAAAGACCTTACTCTATATAAATAAGGCTAAATCTGAAATACTTTTTAAATTCAAATCCCTTCTAAGTATTAGAGGTTTAAAATTATTAAAGAAAGTGATATAAATCTTACTAGTTTACCTATAAGCAGTTTCCCATACTATGAGGTGTTGGTGGGTAATTTAAAGGAAATACCTCCACACCAAAGTATCTTCTTTTAAACATTTTAAATTATGAAATCATTATTATGAAGTTTTTAAAAATATATTAGAAAATATTCGAAAAAATTGTGAGATTTTAACTGGGGGTTTTCGTAATTACGAAATGGGAGGTTTCGAATTATATCCATGAAACCTATCTTATTATTAAATCATATTTAAATTAAATTTTATAAATAAAAATATCAATAATCGTAAAAAAATTTAATATTATTATAACATAAAAAATTATTAATATAAAAAATTACTAAATATCTCAAATTAAGATATCTATCTAGCATTTAACTAACGGTCCGGACAGCGTGTACATGACAGTATATTCACTGGAAGTTCGATGCCTTAGGAGGCGATATTTCCATACAACGTTCTTAATATTTTGAAAAAAATCACTTAAATTGTCATACTCTACTACCAACTATAAAAAAAATGAAAATGTAATAGATATTTTTGGAACATGAATTAGATTAAAAACTATCATTAACAAGAATGCATTATTTTAGTATATTGTTTGGCATGAATATGAGCTTGCTGGAATGTCTAGCCATTTTAATTACATTTAAAAGATAGCTAAAAATTCTCCAGAAATAGGTTTTATTTGAAAAATAGATTGCATGCAATATATAGATTTTTTGGTCGTTTAGCAATATCATTGTACTATAATAAGTCCATAATAAAAGTATTATATAATTTTTTACAGCAATTTTTGCCTTATTTTATCTAAAAATGTTTGATAAAACCTCCAATAAATTTATTCTAAAGCCCCTTCCCTTAAAATTGAAAGCAAACTGCATCTACCCCTTTTACGTTTATGAAGATACTGGGTTCGGACTGAAGTTCAATTGCAAAGACCGAACCGAAAACCTATTTTAAATCTGTCCGGCTCCGTCTTCGATCTTCTCAGCTAAAACCGTAGACATTCAACTGTCTAGTAGTATTATTATATTATAATTGATTATAAATAAAAATGGCTCTAAAATTAAAAAAAATAAGCTTTTGAAACGAATAAAAAAATGAAATGTTATTTATAGTTGATTTTATTGTTTAAATTCTTATGGCTAATTATATTAGCTAATTATATTATATATAATTTAGTCAGCCGGGTTCACTTTTTTTACATATTAGACGAATTATATATAATATAACAAAATGTACCAATAGATATAATATAAATACAATTTTAAGTTAAATTTTTTTTTCTGTCAAAATTATCAATAAAGTATAATTTATTTTAGCAATTAATAATTAATGATAAAAATAGCATCAATATTTATTTTTAGAGGTGTCCAAAAAATTGGTCGATATATTAAAGCATACATATGGGTAGTATTCGTTTTGACCGTAATTTAATCCAGGTATTTCATCATTCTATAAACAAGGTTTATATTTATATTAAAAAAATAAAATTAAGTTTACATATTTATAATTATTTCTTCCTAATTCTATCATTTATATTTGGTTCTTATTATAAATAAAATTTATGAAACGATGGCACTTCCATTTTGATCGCCATATACAGGTAGTCAACTTATACAACTTAAATGGGAGTTTGGTTGCCATTCTCGGTTCACTGTAGCTGTAATTTTTTTATTCCCATTTAGCTAACACTTTTTTTAAAATGATTAATTTAAATCTGTAACAGCGGGTGGTACTATTTTAGTTTCCCAAATAAACAATTTGCATTAGAATTTATAAAAACTTTTTTGTAAAAAAAATAAGTTTCCTTTTATACTAAAATAAATTATATAGGAAATCAAAATGGCATGTAACCAGCTGATTTGTATTCAATGTCACTATAAAATGTATTTTAATTAATGAATAGCGCCAGTCTAGGTATGTATTGTATGACATTGATTTTCGAAAAATATATTTTAAAAATATATATGAAAAAGCCTAATTTAAAAAATCTGCCTTTTTGGGTTCAATGATAACATGGCAGGCAAACAAGCTGTAAAATAAATATAAATTTTTTATAAATAAAGATAAGTTATGATGTACTTCCGATATATTAGCAGGACCCGACGCGCTTGTCGAATCTAAATGCTTAAAAAGCTGGAAGAGTATTTCTCGGACTTTTTTGTGATTTTTTTTGAGCGGTTTAATGAGGATAGCGACGAAATTAACTGGTAAGCCGTATCTACAAGAATTATAAATATATAGAATCACAAATAGGTAAGTGACCTTTCCGCGTGCGACAATTCGGCGCATTTTATTCAAATTATTTAGAACAAATTTTTTAAAATACATTATATTTAAAAAAAATAAATGAAATTAGGTATATATCATATAATATCAGATGGTTTAGAATGAAGCTGGTTTAAACCCCAATGGAGTATTTAAGGATTAAGATATTTTTTTTCGTGCAGGGATTATTCTTAAGTTTATGTTATATTGTATTTACAAGTTGAAATTCTGTTAGTTTTTCAAAAAAAAATTTTCATGAGCTGAATGTTAGTTGCACTAAATTTCGTCTACTGAAAAATAACCAAATAAAACATTTATATTTTTTTACTCATATTAATTACAAAAAAAATTATTAGAAAAAGGTCTAATTTTATGTTATGTATTTATTATAATAAAATGATATAAAAAATAGGGATCAAGTAATGCTTTAAAATCTTTTGCTAAAATATATAACATCAATAAAAATATCATTTAAACCTTAAAACTGATTCTGCAAAAATACGAATTGCTTTCAAGTGTATCCACGAGACAAATGATTCGTTAAAGTTTACCTGAAGCCATCTCAATAAAGGTGCCTGTTAAATGTATAAATTTTTTCTGTAATTATAAAGAATAAATATTAATCAATCTCAGGAATGGCAGACGCCCATTAAGTGCATTTTAAATGTGGGGGACTCTTAAAACATGTTTGATATTCCCTTAAAAAATCTTATAAAGTGAGAAATTATATTTTTGATTATCTTAAAAAATTACGTAAGCTTTTTTAGCGCCGGTTGACAATTTATCGATTTCACTTTTTCCGGCTAACATTTGATCTTCGTCATAAACAAAATCCCGCACAGTAAAACTATAGCCCATTAAAAAAAAATTTATTAAATAAAAGAAATTTGTTATAAAAATGCAATAAAATTTTGTAAGGATGGGCTACTGCCGGCCAATACAATATGATACCCCCCCCCCCACTCAACTAATGGCCACCACTTAAAAATAGTCCTGCAAATAATGGAATCTAGGGGAGGGTCAAAAATTTTGCACTGTATAATCATTTTTGAAACCTGACTAATATTTGATTTAAATTTAATTAATAAGATATGTTAGAGATTTTTTTACCGTTTTTCCCTTGCATGATGCTTGAACTCATCAGCAACCTTCCTAAACACCGAAACGGTATATAGCCCATTTTCTTCATCTTCGAATACCACACTTTTGAAATTTCAAATTAAATATTTTTAAAAAAATATTATTATAACATGTAAATAATGTTCTTTAAATAAAAAAATATTAAAATGACAAGTATTGCTATTTTACACATTTATATTTGATTTTAAAAAATCAGAGTTGACAAATCGTCAAATGACAGGTCAAATTCAGTAAATCGACCAAAGGAGTATTTAACCTGGTAAAATACTATAAAAAATCAGAAAAAAGAAAAAGTAATATAAAAACACATGATCACAATGCTGCTTATTTACTAGGTCCCCAATATCAAGGGTTAATAGTGAATTTTATGAAGTATGTGATATATTACAAGTATTAGGCATTTTATATGGTGTGATCAAAATATTTTAAGTGATATCATAAATTTCAGAAGTAAAAGCATGTTTAATAGCTAATTATGAGCAGTAACTTCCATAAGAAACAATCAGATTCAGGTCTCAAGTTAGTGGAATGGGATTTGCTCAAAATGTCCATTAGTGATATTTATTAACAATCCCTCTATTTCTTTAAAAAAAAATTGGTCGAATTGTGTTAATCTTAATATTCTTACTAAAACAGAAATCGATTGAAGATTTCTATAACAGGAAAATTGATTTAAAAAACATATGAAAGAAAATGATAATATTGAATAAGAACAAGACTGTCACGGAGAGCGAAACAATAGTTATAGAATGATAATCAATTAAAAAAAATATTATAATTTTACTATTATATACAAAATAAAGTTGATGTCTTAAAAAACATTTGAATTTTACCTATACAACCGTGAAAAATATATATTATTACCTCTAATTATTAAGATATATATATATAAATTAGATAACTTAGAAGATCTTGGAACAACCCTATCCGTCAGAGATTCATAGCTGTCTAACCAATCTTTGTACTGGTGTCTTTATGAGTTTTAAAAATTTTATTTCAGTTTTATATTAATTGAATATTTGTAAATATAAGGTTGTAAGTAAATTAGTTAAATTAATGATAGCATTATTAGAAATATATAAGTATACTCCCCAAGATTCAGAAGAATCTTATATAATTTTTAAAGTTATATATTTATAGGATTAAGCACAGTTAAGGGAAATGATAATAGGTCTTAATATATCTTAAACTGGGTAGGTAGTAAATTTTTCAAGGGGGTAGTGTGCATATTTTCTGGAGCTGGAGAGTAATATCTATCTCCGCTTCCCAATATCTCTTATGGAAACGCTGGGAATAAGATAATTTTAATATTTCGTCACACACATTGTAAAACCTACTAAGTGACACTTTTTTAAAATATCCTTTCTTTTTGCAAAAATGACAACATATAAAATCTCATATCTTAATAATTATTATAAATATGTTGCACATAGGGGTGGGACCAATACCAATATAATATTGGTTTACAATACCAATACCAATATAAACCAATATATAATTACCAATTACCTAAATATATTGGTTTTGAAATATTGTTTAAATACAATTTTAACCAATACCAATATTAAAAATTTAAAATAGATAAATACATAAAATTATTTGGTTTTATCGTGGATAATTATATCGTGGTATATTTTTTTACTTTCATTCACAAACATATTACATCTGTTATTTCTTCCAAATATTCCTGTGATATCAATATTGGTGTTATTTATAATTATAGTTTATTTTTATTATGGAAGTAAGTTTTCTATATGATATCTATCAATTTTATCTATTAATTCATTTAGGATATTATAATGAATGAAAACCAAATCGAGTTAATAAATATAGATAATGATGTTGATACTAATAATAATAGCGATAATGAACAAGAAGAATCAACGATATCTAATAAAAGACGAAATACAGCAAAAATCTGGGAATTTTATACTAGTTGTGATAACAAAAAATAGGCTATTTGTAATAAATGTAAAAAAGAATTATCTATTCCCAATTTTGGAACCTCAGGATTATGGACACATCTTAAATCCATCCACCCAACTTTATATAAGAAATTTGAACAAATAAATAATGGCAGTAAAAAAATTAAAACCATAAAATCATTTTTAATTAATAATGTAAATAATAAAGCTAATTTAAATAATTTAATTATGGACTTTTTTATTCAAAATAATTTAGCCTTTTCAATGGTTGAAAATGAGTCATTTAAAAATTTAATAAGCTTTTGCAACCCCTCATTAATATTAATTTCTAGAAAAACACTTAAAAAAGAAATTATGAAACATTATCATAGTTATTTTATCAATTTAAAATCTGTATTTTCTAAAATTACTTCTAAATTTTCTTTAACAATGGACATTTGGTCCTCTCCAAATAAAATACCCTTTATGGGCATAACCATTCATTATATTGATAATGATTTTAAATTAATTAATCATTTATTAGATTTTATTCCTTTTAAATCAGCACATAATGCTATTAATATTTATAATATTTTTAATTCTGTATTAAAAGTAAAATTTGAAATTGATTTTTTTTGTATTACAATAGATAATGCTAGTAATAATTTAGCATTTTTAAAAATTTTAAAACTAAATATCCATTTATCTGTCATGGCTGCATTGGAACCTCTAAATCCAACTTTAAAAAAAATAAGAAATTTTTTAAAAATTTTTAAACTTTCTATATCTAAATTTAATAAACTTGAAAAAACATATCTTGAAAAAAATCCAAATTTAAAATTTCCTCACCCTATTTTGGATATACCAACACGTTGGAATTCAACGTACCAAATGCTCGAAAGGGCTATATTGCTCAAACCTTATCTCACAATATATACCAATCATCAACAAAATACTAATGAAGAATATTATATTAGTGCCTTAGCTTGGAATAATATTGAAATATACCGAGAATTTTTAGAACCATTTAATTTTGCTACAGAGATGGCCTCATGTGCTAATACTCCATCAGTTTCAACAATCATTCCTTTATATTCCAGTATTTTTGAGCAAGTTGAGAGTTATGATAATAATCCTAATGCTATTTTAAAGACAGCTTCTTTAGCTGCCTTAACAAAACTTAATAAATAATATAATTATAATAAACACCTCTTTATTATTTCAACAATGATTGGCCCAAGATTTAAACTATCAAGTCATTTATTAAAGCATAATAATATGGAAACTCTTATTGGATATCTTGCTAATGAATACAATATTTATAAAATAAATAATAACAATTCAGCGGAACTTACAAATGAGCACAAAATAACAAAAAATTGTCCTTTCATGACAAAATTTATCAGGTGAAACCTCATAATAATAACAACTTAGAAATAAGTAAATACGTAGATGAAGCCACAATTTCCAATGATACAAATCCATTATATTGGTGGAAATTAAATAAAAATAGATATCCAGTATTATCAAAAATTGCTAGAGATTATCTAGCAATTCCGGCCACCTCATCTAGCTCTGGAAGGGTTTTTTCAGAAGGAAGGTATCTTATAACAGATCAACGTTGTTCACTAGATGAGCATACTATCCAAGCTTGCCTGTGCTTAAAAAGTTGGATGCGCATGAAGGATTCTTCTTAAATACATAAATTTTTTTCTTTATATTACAATCTTTTGCACTATATTTTATATAAATAGACAATTATGTTACATTTTTAGTGTATTCATTTTGCTATATTCTTTGTGCTAAATAAAAAGTTTCAAAATATACGTTTATTATTTGATTGGTTTGTTGATTTCAAAAATATATTAGTTTAAAAAAAGAATTTGGATTTAGTAAAATTTTGGGAGTTGGTTCTTAGCCTTGTTTTTATGGTAATGCTTCATGATTTTTTCTTCCATGTTTATTTAAAACTAGAAATTAAGAGTTTTATAATCACTATTTCTATTCTTTTAATTAGTAATTTGAATTTAAACCAATACCAATATAAACCAATACCAATAGCAATACCAATACAAGAAATAGAAAATATTGTTTAAACCAATACCAATATTTTAGACCCAATACCAATACAATATTTTGTTTATATTGGGTTTTTAATATTGGTTCCCAGCCCTAGTTGCACACATATAAGATGTATAAAATGATAATTGTAAGAAACATGTTTTCTTAATCAAATGATTAAAAAAATTCTTAGTAGAAAAAAAAAAATTTTTTTTAAATGTTTTTTTGTCTCTCCTGAACAATATTACTTACGAAGTTTACAGAAAAATTCCCTATTTATTATTTCTTATAAAATTGAGAATGGCTTTGCTAAAGAATATTTTATATAATATGGAAATTATTTATTAATAGAAGATAGATCCTTTTATGATATGGGATTTTTAATTGTAAGTCATAATTGTAAATTATTGTAAACATAACATATTGAATTCCTCAATTCCAAAAAAAAAGGAAAAGGTTCTATCAAAAAATAAATGGTTATTTATTCTATTTTATGTAAATTTCCAAAAAAATAATTAAAAAACGGGTTTTCTAACATTATTATATAGGTATATTATTTTTAAAATAATTTAATTATGGACTTTTTTATTCAAAATAATTTAGCCTTTTCAATGGTTGAAAATGAGTCATTTAAAAATTTAATAAGCTTTTGCAACCCCTCATTAATATTAATTTCTAGAAAAACACTTAAAAAAGAAATTATGAAACATTATCATAGTTCTTTTATCAATTTAAAATCTGTATTTTCTAAAATTACTTCTAAATTTTCTTTAACAATGGACATTTGGTCCTCTCCAAATAAAATACCCTTTATGGGCATAACCATTCATTATATTGATAATGATTTTAAATTAATTAATCATTTATTAGATTTTATTCCTTTTAAATCAGCACATAATGCTATTAATATTTATAATATTTTTAATTCTGTATTAAAAGTAAAATTTGAAATTGATTTTTTTTGTATTACAATAGATAATGCTAGTAATAATTTAGCATTTTTAAAAATTTTAAAACTAAAAGACAATTTTGATAATGTGTGCAAATGTTTTTGCCATATTATCCATTTATCTGTCATGGCTGCATTGGAACCTCTAAATCCAACTTTAAAAAAAATAAGAAATTTTTTAAAAATTTTTAAACTTTAATAAGAAATTTTTAAAAAATTTTTAAACTTTCTATATCATAAATCAGAAAGAAAAAAATTCATAGAATTAGCCGTTAATTTTATACTTGCTGATATTAGAAGCCGATGCCAACTAATATTCAACCCTGTAAAAATTAGTTAATTAACTAATCAATGCAATTTTAAACTAAATTTTATTAAATATTTTCTCGCAAAATATTTATTTTTTTAAAAATAATTTTGAATTACTGTATTTTTATATAGACCTTGCCGTAGTCTCAATCGACAGGGCTGTTTTTTTTTAATTTTTCATCAGCGTTTATAAGCGCGTAGAATTAGCAGCCGCTTAATGATTTGGCGGAGGCATCATATATCTCAAAATATAAATTTAATTTATAATTATTGTATTACACTTTTTTATAATTTATTTATGCACTCTAAGATTGTTTATAGTTTATTTCTAAAATCATTTCCTGTCTCATTCTAAATAAATTTATGTATTTCTTAATTTCCTAAAGGGGGAGGGGGCACATGATTATTAAAAAAACAAAATTGAGGCCCTAAAAACGCGCAGTAATAATATTTAAATTTGTATTCTTGATCTTAAGAAAAGGACTTTGGCCTCTAATGTGTGGATTCGTATTTTTTAAAAAAAAAGTGTTGGAGGCAAGATGTCCACTGGTGGAAGTGGCAAGTAAGAATGAAGCTATCCAATATTTTGTATTTGTTTCTATTTTTGTTTCGGCTTGAATGAATGTGTTGCTATTGATATTAGTGGGGAAAGTGGTAACACAGGTATAATCCCATATGAGAGATTTACACATAAGAATTCCTTTTCTTAAGATAAATACACAAATTGAACCCCCCCCCTCCCTAATAT